AGATTTGGTCAGGTTAGTGGTGCAGCATCGTTATCATATTTCACCTTCTCAAGCAGATGTGAGATGTGACTCTCCATGTCCACACAATTAGACTCCCCGTGGAGAGCTGATTGCTTTTGGACCCGTTCGTATTGTCTTGCAGTGGGAATCTACCACTGTGGTTCTTGTGCGCTATAGCTTTCCCTGAGATCTCACAGGGTGTAGGACATACGACAGCAATACATGTATCTTCAAGTAATGTGATGTCATTTTTTCTCCACACTGATGAAATTGATTAGCCACGAAACAATAAGGCAGCGCGAAAATAAGAAAAACAAAGGAAAACCCGACACGCGCTAGTACATGTATCTACATGTACATGTACTATCTGCAGTATCATACATTTTCACGACATTTTCACGACATTTTCACGACATTTTCACGACATTTTCACGACATTTTCACGACATTTTCACGACATTTTCACGACATTCTTCAAACTGTCTCAGGACTACACTAATCACTAAAAGAAAGAAAAAAAAGAGATCATCATTGGAATTTCCGGAATATTCATTCCTGAAGAAGCGCCTTGCCAGAAAATTGGAATGATTATCTCTTTTTCTTTTAGTGATTGGTGTAGCCCAAAGACCGTTTGGAGAGTGTCGTGAAGATGTATGGATATACAAAGGCACACAATGAAAACCTTGGCAAATTAAATCCGTTGTGACTCAGAGTTTCATGGCTGAACCAATCATCAGACAATCATCAAAAATGAAATAATTTGCCAAGGTTTTCATTGTGTGCCTTTGTGTACGCCGCTCTACCTGAATCAGGCATTGTGCACTCTTGCAGAACCAAAGCATGTTGCCTCTGTGATGTATGGATATAGAGATGGCTATAGTGGAGTCTTCGCCTTTTGAGAAACATAACTCTGTAGTACCAGTGATTATACGAGTCGTTCATGGAGCAAAGTTCGTAACTTTGAGGGAGCGGAAGCAGGAAAGTGTCCAGAAATCATTGACTACCATCAAAAGGAGTCGAACCAGGAACCCTCGCTTATAGCGCTAGTGATGCATTACCAATAGTACTGCTACGATGTAGTTGTCATTCCAGCACTGACTGCTCGCCATGGTCGTCAGAATTGTTGTTGGTGAAGTGTATTTTCAAAACGTCGCACCACAAAAAGGCGGTTTCACCTCCTTTGATACACGCGAGCAACTTCTATAGTGCTAGCAAAGGTTATCTACAGTGGTGGTGGCTGAAATCCGACCCTTGATTGCGGCTCCAGTGCAGCACGCTCTCTGGTTCGTAGTTGTACCCTGCTGTGTCTTTGCAATGTGAACGTACCGCCCCAGGGATCGGATTTCAGTTGCCAGTACTTTAGAAGGAGACAAGCAAACCACTGTTAAATCAATAGTCACTGGTCTTCACAGTCACATTCAAAAGTGAATTGTGTGGTATACATCTAGTTGGCGAAAGCGAGATTTCCTGCTTCGGTGCTCTCAGAAGTATTACAGAACATTTCATTCCAATTCCATGTTTTGTTTTGTTTTTACAAAGACCACTTTTAAAAATGCCAAACATGAGATGCAGCTAGGGGAAGCACACACAACCTGAATGTACTAACTGTATCAATCCCAGCTGCTTACTACTTGCAGTAGAAGTGAATATCCTCCTTGGGCAGAAAGAATACCAAAAGGAATGCTTGGTTTACCCCGAAGCACTGTGTATGGTGAGCGGGGAGTGGTGGTTTCCTGCATTTTTGCCGATTCAAAAGGGGTCGATGAACAGCTCCTGTGCTCTGGATGGTAGTCGTGAGCTAGTCAATCGGCAATTCAAGTCCTTGGGCACAGCGACCTCCAGTGTGGGGAGCAAACACTTTCCCTTTATCCAAAGGTCCAAAATACAATAATACAATTCAATACTACCACAGTCCTCCTACTGTAGATACAGTGATAAGAGGAAATCACTGATTTGAGAGATTTGGCGACTTTGAACCGATCACCGAATTGATCAATGATCCGCTTAAAAAAACCACTCAGAAGGCGATACAGAAGAGCTATGATATACTTCTGTGATTCTGATAGATCCTGGAGGAAAACTGTTTCTCCTTGTTTGGCGTCGAAGCCTGGGGATATTTGGCAGGATACTATTGGCAACTTTGCAAGCAGGTTATAGGCTTTGTTATGATTGCAATATTTCCTCCTTCCGAGATGCTCCCTCCGTGCCTGGCAGTTAATTGAAGATAGTCTAAGTTGGTGCGTGCTGAAAGAATTTCCTGTATTCACTTGGTCTTGGTATGAGCCCCAAGCTGGCTGTTGATTTATTTCGACCCTAATTTCCAAATTTGATTACTGTCCAAGGGTGTAATATGAACGTGTTAGCCTCTTCACCTCAAGACCAAGAATGGGGCTTCCTCTGAAATGTTCTAATTTTATCCAAGGGGCAGGCTTAATATCACTCGAATGTCCTCAACTATAATCTCAACTATTGATTAGCAAAGGATGGCTCTTGGAGATGCTTGTGTAGTTCGGGGTGTGTTAAATCAATCAGCAGGCACCTTTCTAGGTGGAGATTAGCCAACGGCCAAGTTTCTCTCCCTGTGGAAATATGCCCTTCGCAGTGAATCAGCTGCTGAGGTCTTGGTCTTGATAGGAGGGTAAGAAGTGGCACAGCCCAGGGGCAGAGCCCCCAAAACACTGCCTGTGACTGGTTTATCATGTCAGACATATGACCAACCGAGCAAGCTGGACACACAAGTAGTTCCGTGCACATTCATGTAGCTGACGATTGGTTAGAACATCCATGGTATGGTATTGCATAAGCGAGAGGTGCCTTCCATCGTACCCTGAAGGGTGAGCGCATCCAGTTCTAAATGACACCAGTCACAACAGCGACTTGTATCAGACGGTTCTCTGTCTGCTTCAAAGCCGTGTGTTTGTTCAATTTGCTTTGCCATCTTACAACCCGGGACCATGAGGATGTCCGTGGGCAAACAACCTTCGAGCATCGAACCAAGAATGTCCCCCATGAAGTGGCGACCTCGTCTTCGGCCCAGGGCGAACAAACACGAACAGGGTGAGCACTGAACACGATTCTGAGCAGGTTGTGTTCCAGCGACGCAGCCAATCACAACGGCAATTCTGTCAATTGATTGGCAAGAACGAAGAGGAAGCTTGGACCAACCAGCGAGGATCGCCCCAGGGTGGACAGAGCTGGTGGCTGGAAAGATGCTGTCTTCGCCAGTAGACACAGTTCGTCTGTGGCACGCGTACTCCATGTTAGTGCGGGAGATGAATCTTCACGGGGATTCCTTCTGACGCTTGGGAAGTGATCGCGGTGTCCTTGTGACCAATGAGCGTCGGAGAAAAGCAATCACAAGCGCTTCTGATAGTCGATAGCGAACTACAATTCGGTACAAGGCTGCTGCAAGCGTTCCGTCACGTACTAGCAGGAACGGTAACCGATACATGTATTTAGATTTCCAGCCTCAGCGACATAACACCTGCGTGTGATGTACTCCTTGCTTTGATGTCTCGTCCATGACCTTCACATTGACCCTCCTTCTCCAGTCATGACTCATGAAGGAGAGAAATCATGCAAACGAATGACTCCTCAGCTGGTTCGAAGCTGCCAAGTAAAAATAACCTGTTGGTTTTGGCGCAAGCACAAGGCTGTTTCTGCAGGCAAATTGGTTGTCAAAGTGAGAGCTTCATCGTTGCACATCGACGAATCCAAGGTGTTGCTTGAATATTACTGTATTTCGTCTCTAGCTGTTCCTTGGATCATAATATCTTCTACCGAATCACACTTTATTTTCATTGTGGAAACCTTCTTTGTTATATCCCTTGAAATGAATAAAGATTCAAAATCAAGCATGCATGTCTGGATTGGTACTACATCACATTTTTAGTGATAACCACACATTGTTCTTCTTTTGGGTTACATACTGGTATTTTCCTTTTCTGGTTTTCTAGGTTTTGTATTTTGCATTGCGTTTTCATCCATTGTGTTTCTTTTGCCCGTGAAAGAGGCTTTAGTAAGCATGTCAAGACCTGGGTAGACGCAGGTTAAACATTCACGCTATCGCTAGTTTTATTTTCATCTTGTGCGATCACGCCTTTCTCGGCCAACTGTATCGCATGCTAGCGGAAATTAGGCACCTCAGTTCGGTGACATTCAAGACAATAAGTTCTATCATCAAGCTCGCAATCAACACAGTAATGTTGTTATCGCGTCGTGTCACGCTATTGTCATTGAAATGTTCCACACTCCCCAATCAAGGCATACTGAAATGTTCCACAATACCCAATCAAGGTATTTTGAACTCTCTCTCTCTCTCTCTGATACTGCTGGTGCTCCACACCAAGTCAGTCACCCACGTACGTAGTGTACCTCTGTGTGTGTGCGCGCGCGCGTGTGTGTGTGTATTTGTGCGTGTCTTTCTGTTTGCCTTGTCCTGCGCGACACGTCGCACTCAGCGCTGAAGTGGAAGCTGTTAATGCGACGCCAGTCAGGAAATCATCATCTCCTCCACCTATACTCGATTCCTATGGATGCGCTGTATTCTGGCCCCAGATTCGCCACGCCGCTTAGTGATGATCCCGCTCATCATCATGGTACCTGTTTCTCGATCACTCGCCGGGAATAAGCATACCACTCACCTTGAAGCGAGAGGTACACCGCAACTTCCGATTAATGATAATCGCATTGTATCTTCGCCTATCCTCACGAACGAGAGGTAGATGCACGTCTCATCCGTGGGCTTTTGGTCTTGGCTCAGTTGTGCAATCCCATCTTATATCATCCTATCCCTGCAGTGTTCAAATCTAGTGATAGCAACTGTGAACGCCATCACAGGTCGAATGTCGAGCACGGTCATCTCGCCCGGGCATATTACGAGGTCATTGTCAAGCGTTATTGCAAATGCTTCCTGTACGATATTGCGCCAAGTTCCGCTTAGTATCCGCTCACGCACACTGCCACAGTTACCTAGATTGGCATGGTGTGCTATACTCCCGGGCAGTGTGTCCGTCACCCGAAGCATTGTGAATTAATTGTCTGATTACCTCGATGCTAGCCACGGCTATCTTTCAAAATAATACCTCAGCGAGGCACTGTCCGACAGGTGACCTATTCAATACAAAAATGGTAGCCTGATTCGGAAATAAAATGTATCTGTGTCTGGTGAATATGTCAACATAAGTAGACCTTCGCCGACGGAGATGGTTGGCTTTTTTTCTCTGCTCCTGTGACAAGATCGGGACTGCTGACACATCATCACGAACTCGAGGTAGGTTAAAAGTAGACCTTCATGTAATTTGGGTTAAAATTGCCTTCTACTCCAATGGGGTTGCAGGCTTTGTCAATGTTTGTATGTACTTATTACAATTTGGGTGTTGTTCACTCGTGACCCGATAGCGAAATCTCATGATCTTTCTTAAAATAAGATTTAGCCACGATTTCCCCGTGTATAATGTTGTTCGTGCTGCTTGAAGAAAAGGCTAACAAGTTCTCTAGAGACATTCATCAGGGAAATGCGGCTCAATATTATTCTGTTTAGTACTGGTGCGTACTGGCGCAAGCTATTTGAAGCGGCATTTCTCTTTATACGAATATCCAGTATGGTCACTTGGTTGCCAGTGCATGTACAAGTACAATCAACTTGGAGTCGTGATTACCGGTACGTGTAGATGATTCCTGTAGCTTTGCAGTACGGAGAGGCTCAATAGGGGGGGGGGGGGCTAATAGCTAAAAAGGTACATGTATGGGCAAATATGCCAATCGCGGAGGTTCTTCATGTACATGTATAAATACAACAATTTCGTGTACGACCATAATTGAACGAGTTTTAACAAATGAAGCACGGACCAATGTGTGACCTCCAAACCCATGCGCGGCCGTAGGCAATCAAACAAATGCTTGCGCCTGGCGCGGGAAATCTTCATTGGGCTTGGTATCTCAAAGGGCAACCTGTTCATGCCACGTTTGGCTAGTAAATGACTCTTCGTATAGGCCGTCGGCATTAAAACTCCGATCTTCTGCGATCCTAATACGCACCCATGCGCTTCGAAAGCGCATGATATATTACTCTCTGACGTTGCTCCACCCAAAGGTTATCCAAAATCCATAATGTGGTAACGCTGCTCCCATAGAATTCTGGGTTTGAGTGATGCAAGTGCTTTTCAGTGCGAGTGATTTTAAACTGCCGTCATTCTGAGATTGCTCAGTTATTTCTCCACATCTACATGTACATGCATACTTGTAGCTAGAGTCCGTGTACTCTTGCTAAAACTTAGTACAAGTATGCGGCACTTGGCCTGTTTTTGTCTACCCCTGATCGACCTCGCCTCGGGCAATACCGGTCCACAATTCATGGTTCGTGTACCAGATAGAAGCGACGTGTGCACACACCATTACATTGTTTTACGTTTCCTGGATGAATACCGCTGAGAATGATTATCATATCGACTAATTGCTGTCCCAATTGATGCCGTTGTCGACTTTCGCCCTCGTTGAGATGTTGAACAGCACGGTTTTGTCTTCACAATGCGACATTACTCGGAGCGATAATGAATTCCAATAGGACCGCCAAGGACTCAGGTCAAAGCAATAAGGCGACAAGGAAAGCGACATGGTCTATAATGGTTGTGCGGGCAATCGCCTTGATCCGACCCTGCTTTGGATTTGGACAATGCGGAATGTGGGGCTACGAGTTTGGAACTGCACTAGAAGTCTACGCAGTGTCCAGCATACTGCGCACTGTGCAAAGCAAGTACTTAGCGAGGACTGTAGCAAATATAGCAGCACTTAGCCAAGCTCATCAGAGCTGAAGAATGTTGACATAACATAATAATCTAGATCCAACATCCTCAAATCAATGATTGTACGAAAAACTGCGGACCAGGTCAACACTTAATATGGATGATGAAGACTGGATGCCAGCATCCGCGCAACAATCCTTGCAGTCCGCTACTGAATCCATCATGCGTCATTGTGTGTGTGTGTGTGTGAAGTAGTAGTAAATACAAGTAGTATGTCTGTGTGTGTGCGTGGATATGTGGGTATGTACAGAACTGCTTTGTCCTGTGATGTGTGTATTGTGTGTGTGTGAGTGCATCTATGGGGATGGGGAAACGTCATGTTGTTGATAAAAGCGTGCATGTGGACAACCATACATCAATGACGGCTAATAACTGATAAACAATTGGGGAGAGTTCGTTTATGATCTGCATTCTTGGGTAGAAACTAAGTCTTCGGTAGAGGTGTTTAGTTTTTTTATTTCTACCCAAACGGTATTATTCTACTTTCTTCTGTCAGGTTTGAGCCGTCTCAAAGTCTGCAGACGTTAATTAAGAGAGGTACTTGTGTAACAATGAGCTCTGGTTTCCATAAAGTATAGCTAACATCGTGCTGTAAATGTCAATAAACAAGGGATTACTCGTTTTGTTTTGCAACTCTAAGTTTTCATGGACTGTGCGAACCCACCAGGAAAGCAGAATACAATATCCATTGGATATTGTGCCTCATGAGTGCACACAATCCATGAAACATGGACATGTATACCGGGCACCGATTTACATTACACAGCCTCCGGTATCCGAAGAAGATGAATACTCAATGATGCAGACAGCCAGACTGTTTCGGCCAATGAGGCCTCATCAGTGCAACTCCGAGCTTAAAATAGGATTGAACTGTCAGCCATGGCTACGAGAACCACAGACATTAGGACAGCTCGATGTACTAGCGCTGAGAGTGCTAGAAGCAGCGGGCAAAGCATAAAGGTAACCAGCGCAAGTGCGTCCTATTGAGAGTGCTCTACAAGATCGAAATCGAGGAGCGAAATACTCAATGATGCAGACAGCCAGACTGAAAAAGAAGATGAATATGTACTTTCTCGCTGTTATAGACGTTGTTTATGGACGTCCCTCAGTAGCTTCCCTTGAGGGTTTACCTAAACTCATGCTCTCGCGACTCTGGGCTGAGTAGCGCACGTCAACCATGGACTCTGGTCGTTTTCGAATCCTGCGTCGCGTTTCTACCAAGGCGGCGAGAAACGAACGTTAGAAGTACTATGCCCTTCCCGGTATAATGGATATCGATTTTGGTCTCTTCGGACTTCCAACCGCAGGTTAGTCGTGCCAAAAACACTTAGTCGGTGGTGACAATATCAGCATGGAACTTCTTCATGTATGTGTACATGCTTGCTCCTGAACCGTGGCGGTGTCAGGAAATGCTGCGACAGGAGAAAAGAAGAGAATTGCAGCAGCACTTCACCAAGGTCACACGCAATGAGCGGGTATTGTTCGGAAAGAGCTCTCCGCGCGCTTTTAGTCTTTTCTCTTGCAGTTCTCAAGGCCTGGGGTTTATGTTCATTGCGTAGACGAGAGGGGTGGCATGTTGCTGTCAAAGGTGCTCTGGTAATATCGCTACAATGCAACTACGTCCTTGCTCCATTATCAGCGGTTGTGCCAGCACTGGCAATCTTGTGTATGATATCTCTACAATCATGTTGCAGTCAAGTGCTCTTGGAGGAATCGGAAACTTGTCACACGGAAATAGCTTGAAGAGTCTTTTTTCCAAGAGTTGGAGTTAAGTATGATTATGTTCAAGAACAAAGATTGACCTCAAAGGCCTGAGCGACCAGCCTACTTCCAGGCTTGAAGGTCGCAAGGTGAGGTCAAAATAATAATAGTGATGCATCGGATATCTGGCAGTGCCTGGAAGTAACTACACTTGTAGGTCTGTGCAAGATGAGCTTTTGCCTGCCCAGGTACTCCAGAAGTGTCATGTTTATAATGTTGTAAGGCTATGAGCACCATCCATGTTCTGCCACAATTCAACGGATCATCGTCCAACGTTTTCTCATGATCTAGGCGCCATTAGTATAGTCCACTTCAAGGGAATTGTCCATCCCGGACGTTGCATCCAAGACAAAAGAACATGTCCTCAACCACTTAGCTGAAGGTGTCCGACCTGGGTTGCTGCGACGTGACTTGTATTCGCCTCAGACACGTGTAGGTCGCAGCGTGTGTATCTGTCATGTACATGTATGACAATGGAGCGGCAGAAGTTCGTTTCAAACAAACTCTGATTATTGAAGAGCTACAAAGTCATGTTCATTGCACACATACATGTATCACGGCTTGGACCATCGTTCGCTCTCCCCGTCTCCCCCCCCCCCCCCCCTCCTCACATTTCCTACTTCGCACGCAGGTGGGGCTGGAGGTATTAAAATTAGGAACTTCGAAAGTGACTTATCCACTTTCATACTACGCTAACAACCTTCATGTACAAGTATGAGATGCGATTCGCAGTTCATCTCATCACAATCATTATGGCCATTGTGAGGCGCATGGGACGGCCAAAGCGTCCGTGCTTTATTGTTCTATGAACAGTAACGCCGTCACGTGCGCAATCACTGTCTTGATGAAGACCATTGGTGTACAATGACGCTGCTCTGAATAGTGCAGGGGAAAGCTCTACATCGCCACGTTGTCCCTATATTCCCTGTCTTGTTTTATGTTTGTCTCCACAAAATCTATTGGTAGGGCCTGTGTTCGCTCTTTTCTATGTTTCGCTCAAATGATGAAAATTGTGACGTCAGAAACACCGGCATGGATTGTTCTAGTCTCATCTTGGGAAGTGCTGAGTCTTCGATGCACTACATCAAGTTATCACAGCGCCGTTCCGCACCCCATAATCACACAAGTACCGTTGCACTCCGGCATGATCGTTGCTTGCTGATTACGAATAATTTTTATTGAAAAGAAACTATTTTGGGTACACACTACAGATACTCACACGGAGTCAAACAAGGGACGGAAAGGATATTCATTATAATAACTCAGCACTACAGATACGTGTGTGTTGATGGACCAGCAGGGTGCTTTACCTACCCAGCGAATAGTGAAGGAGGACGAGTCGCGCCAGAACAGTAATTCATGTACTCAGTAGTGTAAAGAATCTCCTCTTCGCTCTCTTTCTGCATTGGAGTGAGATCCGTTACAGGGAGCGTGACCGAAACGTGCACTATTGTATTGCTCAGCTGGCGGTGTCTAGATCTACATAATATACAAGTACATGTTGAGGGCTGTCTTGGGCCGTATTATCATTTTAAAATAATTATTTGTAAGTGTACAGGTACATGTACGTGTATTGGCCGTGGTATGCGGACACGTAATTGCACAAGGTATGGCCACCCGACCTGATCGTTTCACAGACGCCTCATGCTGTGAGGTTAATTCGATTGTGCATGACAACAAAATTAATAAAATGCTGCTAAGTGTTTATGATCACATCCCTGTTACTGTAGAACTTTGTAGTCGGATGAAAGTACATGATGGAACACCAATATCGTGTCCTTGTTGACAAGCAAAATGAATCGGCTTGAGACAGTCACAAAGAGGAATTGATGGATGATCTCTGTGTTGCACTGAGTGTGCGCCACTAGGCACTCAGCGTAAGCAATGGCATGAACACTCTGCGTGCTTGTGCTACACAGGGTACAGCCGTCACTAATAGTACATGTAGTAACGTGTGCAGTGTGTACATTGTAGTCATTGCTACTGCACGTCTTCAGGTTCTGCGCGCGAGTACATACATACATGTACGATATTTAACTTCAATTTAAAATTTTAATTTGTTGTCTGAAATATGATGTGCTCTAAGGTTTATGTAGGAGAGCCAGGCCAAGGTGAGGTGAACAGAATTTAGAAACAAAAAGCAGTTTCTTCTTTATTGGACAATGCATGCCAGAGGTTGAGTGTCTATTGACATTTTGGAGATAAGAGAGATGGACCGAAAGTACCGATAAAAGCGCCCGAAATTCTGTGAAATTGCTGTAATTCTCCTCTCAGTGCTGCTCTCGAATTCTGCAGGGAAAAGTGGTAGCCGGATAAGGCTGCTCACTTTGATCGTGTAGAAGCCATAGTTTCCCAAGTACACCATTGCTATTACCGATAGTACAGTGCTAGCAACTGGAATCCGACCCCTGAGCATTGCGTTCACATTCTAGCGGTCTCTATTTTCGTAATTTTACAATCCCGTGTTGGGTCTTTGCGATGTGAGCGCACCGCCCTGGGGTCGGATTTCAGTTGCCAGCATTGTAGTAGCCCTTGATTACTGTAAAGCGTGAAATTTTCGCGGCGTTTTTAGTTCGCGTTTTCAGAATCCGGACAGGTTTGCGAGGTTTTAATTTTGCTATTGCAGAATGGTATTCTTGCTATACCTGTGGCATTCTTGCTAAACCTTTCATGGATCTCCTTTTCGCGCTGTCTAAATTTCGCGATTTCCACGCGGTCGCGAATTTCGCAGAAATTAGACCATTGCAATAATTTCACGGTTTACAGTACCCATCTCTTGGAGTCTTTCCATTCTGTTTTCCACCTGGTGTAAATGAAGTTGACAGGCACGGAAGGAGCTAAGAAGCGTGGGGACGAGGTGGCCGAGTGGTTAAGGCGATGGACTGCTAATCCATTGGGCTCTGCCCGCGTGGGTTCGAATCCCATCTTCGTCGTGCAACTTTTTTTGGTCCGTTTTTCCAGGGTTGTGAACGTCTCCTAGTACAGTATACATGTAGTACAATCATTTTACTTATGACATGCATAGCTCCGTGGTAGACGTCTTCCATGATATTTTTTTCCAATACCTCAGCCTCAGTTCGACTTTCGATAGCATTCATTGCAATTTCCTTCAGTACGTTACCACTATTACGATCCTTGCGTAGATTTAGTGTCATGGTATTCACTAACCTGTTTTTGAGCACCTCTGCTCGTTTGGTCCTGCGAGTTCACGCAAATGTACATGTATAAATATAACAAACAGTCCCACCATATGATTGTATAATTATGCTCCTGCCTCCAGCCATAAGCGTCCAGTCGCCAAGAAACCGGAGTTTTTTTTTGGGCTCCATACATAATTTTATTTTCATTATTTTATTGGTTTGGTGAGACTCCCATGATAGGTATCCATTTACCTCTGGAGAATCCGTAAATAAACAAAAAAAAACAAAAAACAAAAACAAACAAAAAACCGAACATTCTGATTTCTGCGTTGTCCAATGATTTAATAAATAGGCCATGGCTGACGAGAACAAGTCCAGAGTTGCAGCACGGCTTTGGAATACAAGATCCAGGTTGGGCAGGGCGTTGTGCCTGAGGCCGAAAATTTCACTCGCCACTACGTGCACATACATGTACATTTACATCTACAGAAAGCGGAGGTACGTGTCCATCATAAATTATATTACGCAATGACAAATTGCGGACACTTCGGAGGTCAGGGACACACCAAAAAGAGTGAACATGTCCGTGGATCCTTTCAGGAGCGCCACACCATCAATGCACAATGTATTGTCCCAACCCGGTCCTTTCGAAAGACCTACAAGTATAAGTAATTGACGGCTGGCAGGGCTCTGCAGCTCGGGAGCTGGCACTGGCTCAAACCAAGTACATGTAGCACGACCTTTTAATTAAAAGGCTAGAGGGCATTTTCACTTTCGTATGTTTTCTGCAGAGAATTGCCACTGGCAGAACCCGCAATTGCACTACAATAATGGTATCACAAGCCTCCGATGCATGCACCCACATACATTTACAGTACGTGTATACTTAGTTCGTTTTTGAGAATACATGAAGACTGCGCTAGGACTGATCAGCTACACCTACATTGTACATTGTACATGTATACACAGCAAAAATATTGACACGGCAAGCTATCGTCACAAATGTGAGCATGATGACGTCATCCTCATGAAATGCAATCCGATGCTTTGTTTCTGAGTGGAATGAGGTCAAAGTCACCTAACACCAGTACATGACTGGAGGATGTAATTGTGATCCGTGCAAGTTACACATTACACGGTGTCCTACATGTACTTGGGTACAATGGGCGTTGAGATACATGCAGACACCCATGCCAAGAGACTAACCCAGTCGTGTCACATACAATGTACATGCCGTCATGTGCACTGACAAGTGATAATGGCCGTACAGTCATGCACATGTATGATGTAGATCTACATGACCATGTGCCAGTACTCAATAGGCAATGGTGCGCTGGACTGAGCCTCGATGCCTGCAGGGCGAGGTAGCGCCAACCTCTCGAAATGTCAAGCTACTCAGAACGCTACTCCAACGCCGCTCCAACTTTTGATTAGCTCCAGACTCTAGATCGACCCCTGGGGTTTCTCTCTTTCTGATTCAGATGTGCCTGGAGCCCCTTGCATGCGGTTTGCTGTGAAGGTCCGTCGGGGATGTGACCTTATTCGCCCGTTTTATATCCACACATTCAAGAAGAGGCTGTGAACAAGGGGTCTATAAAACACTCTAGAGCTTCTGAAAAAGCTGCCATTTCTCTTGCACTCTGTCCTTCTCGCAGACTGTAACGTTGACTGAATCTGAGCGCAAAAGGCATCGGAAACAAGACCAATTATTCGGTTTCTGGCGAGTATACGCACTGATGAGCATGACAAATCACTGGCAGCGCTTTCCCGCTGTTCTGCGGATAGTCACCATGCTTATTGCAATGTATGTGGCGGAAAGTGTGGAAGTCGCTAGCCAAGGCGCACCACTGGCGATCCTGGGCGATCATGCTTATGGAAGTCGCCTGGTTCGCTATCCGGAGAGAGCACATCCGACTCGATGCGATCAGAGCAACAGAATCGGTGGTCCAAACATCAAGGTGAGAACAGATAGAAATGAGACATGGCTGTACTTTGCTCGCTGAATAATAACTTTCTAAACTTTCTCTTGCTCTCATGTCGTCTGCACGAACACAAGGTGAAGTACATTCTTCCGCTGTACATGTGTTACTGATCTGTTCTTTTATTATCAAGGCAAGCCAAAAGATTAGTTTACCAGGGCATTCTCCTTCGCATTACTGACTGTGAACTATAGTCCAGGAGTACTATTCGATACATCGGGCACCCATTTGCGAAGAAGAGGTTGGTGAGACTTCGGCGATACTCACCCCTGGGTGACTTGGAAGAATGAGTATGAATGCGAAGTGTATCGGGGAATGCATGTAGGGCGATAGTGCGGGTTCGAATCCCAGGTTACGCCTGAAAAAATAGGAGAATTGAAAAAATTATAACATCCCTATGCTTTTTTTGCCTAGTCAAGGCGGTATGGTAGACGGTGTCGTATTACCCTCGACCGTACCTGTCCCGTACCGTATCGTACCATCAAAGACGGCTGGCCACAATATTCAAATAGGGCCCTTCAAATGCAAGATCATAACGTGAAGCAACTAATTTACTTGGAAGAATTAGTATGTATGCGAAGTGTATCGGGGGATGCATGCAGGGCGATAGTGCCGGTTCGAATCCCAGGTTATGTCTGAAAAAAGGGAGAAATTTATAAGAAAATTTATAACATCTCTATGCTTTTTTTGTGTAGGTCATCAAGGCAAAAAAAGTATAGCGTAGGGCCCTGAGCCGCAGGCTAGACGACTACGAAGTTAGATGAATTGAGGTAAATTTTGGAAGACGATAAATAGCGCAACGGCAGCTCGGTTAAAGAGGATTCCCTTCGAGCTGCTGTTCCTTACAACATGCGAGTTCATTTACCTTACATACGCTATCAAGTAAAATGTGCTGTTAGTACTCATCTCCATATACATGTACACTCATTGTCAGATCAATATCCATCACCATGGAATTTGCTGGAGTAGTAGCATACCAGTAGACGTCCGATACCGACCTTTCAAGTGTACATTTTGCATTCTGGACCCTACTCCTTGTGTGGTGCGAGTGGTAACACGAATATGCGAAAGTTTTAGTTTACTCCTTGTCACTATGCCTGAATGGATCGTGGCGATAAAGAAGTCTGAAGTGTGCTAGAATTACCTCTCTCCATGTACATGTTGTACATGTAGTATACGAGCGTACTGCAAAGTATTCTCCACCCTCTGCCGGACCAATTATTCTGGGAAAAGTTATCTTCAGGTTCTGATTTCCATGCCCTCATTCAAGGGTGGCAAAGTGTACATGAACATGTCGATGTACATTGTAGATGATATTTCCCACGGATACCTGCCGCCGGGCGAAATTTCTCTTCTTGTGAAGCGGCAGATAGGCGAAGATCTCACTGTAAACGTATTGCCGGTTTGAAGTGTTTGTTTTGCCGACCCAACTGTCGGCCCCAAATAATGTGACTGCTGGAATGTCGCTTGGGTCCCAGCTGCGGGTGTGTTGGCACGAACACGTCGTTGACATGGACCAGGTGATCGACACGAAATGCATTAGATCGAATGCACCATGGCGGGTATTCATAGCTACTACAAAACACACAATGCAGCAAGTCGAACTACTTGGGCTGTCTTGTATACATCGCCTAGATTAATGATTTACAACATGGATTTCTAGGCCAGAACCACTCACAGGCGATCGCCACAGGGGAGGAATCCGTCACTTTCGGAATCGTACGGGGAAAGAGAGACAGAGAGCAGCCAAGTTGAACTGCGAAGAAGGCTAGAGGCTCTCAAAGCGCTGTCCGCCCGGCTTGGACCAGGAGCATTCCTAAATCATGTATGTCGCTGCGAAGCATGCAATCCGGGCATTTCTGATGGCTCGTGTGGCCCTAGGCAATGACTGCCCGAGGCAAAATGCTGCACCTTGCGCAAGGACAATTGGGATTGTTACTCGATCGCCAAGAGCGAACTATTCGAGATTGTTGAGGATCTTCTTGGCGCATTTCTAGCCATAGAGTGTTAGTAAGTAAGTAGACTATAGAGGGATGCAGCGTGAGTTTGCGATTTTAACGTGGCCCTTGGCGCGAACTGCAGGTGTGTCGGTGAGCGAAGATGACCAGCGGAAAGACTTCAACATTTAAATTAAGAGTCAAGTTCCCTTGGTCTTGGCTATCGCATTTCCAAGCCTTGGCCGCGTTGCAGCCATGACCAGGACTGAAGTGCTTGAACCTATCCTCACGTGCTTACACCAACGACATGAATCCGTTAACTCTCAAAGACATACAGGCAGTAGTTTTAAACAAGAAAGATGGAGACTGTTTCCCTGGTGACGAGGTTTAATGACGAGGTTTATTTAAGTACCAGTGCTACAGGGGTAACAATTCCGCGTGGAACTGTGTCTTAGCGATGCACCCCATGTGGCACATATCGGTTACAACTTCAATACGTACTAGATAACACGTACATGTATACACTTGTACATGTGCGGGCGTGTACGTCTTGATAATACTCTGATATGGGATTGCGTTGAAGGAGCCACTTGAGAGCGGACCGTGTGCATAGTAACACAGCATCAAGAGCGTACTGCAGCTCTGGTGGAAGGTACATATCAGTAGCTGTTGGACACATTAGACCCAACTCTGTTGCCTATTGATGATCATAGCTTTACCCTTTGGCTGTCTACTCTCCAACCCGAGCAGTAGTAGACATTTACACGGGGCTTTACTGGTGACAAAATGCAAACTCTACCAGGCCAGAGGCACGTCTACAGAATGATGACAATACTGGCCAACTAGCAGTGTCTAATTAAACTTGCAACGGCATTGATCAGCCCTTGGCTTAGTAGAATATGCATGCAAATATTTAAATCGTCTCAGTGTTCTGCAGAGCGCTGGTCGAGTGCTGCTACCTCATAGCCGTGTAGCAGCTCAAGAACCATTACATTGTGATTATGCAGCCGGCGATACCCTCATGATAGCCGCGATGTGTTAGGTACATTTGTATTTTTTGTATTGTATTTTATTATTTTACTTGGGCATTCCCAACAGACCCTAAGGTCTTCTTACAGGGTGCCCAAGATGAATGAAATTGTTAAGTTCCTGGCGAAATGAATTGGGGATATGATTTGTGCGAAGGGATTCGGGAAGCGCATTAAAGCGGTCAGCACCAAGGAATGAAATAGATCTGTATCCAGCTTGGGCTTGCACAATGGGTAAGGAAAGGGAATAATTGACTTGGCCGCGGGTTACTCTGTCTGTGTGAGCGCAGTCACGGCGAAGGGAGAACATGTCAGAGAGGAGTGAACTGCAGATATTGTGGATGCAACGGAACACGAAGAATACGACTTGAACCACTCAAGAGCATTTCCACGGATCTTCAGATTGTGAAGGTCATCTATTAGCGTTTGATGGTGGACGCGGTCAAAGGCTTTGCTCATATCGAGCAGCAGTACGGCCGTATAGTCTCCGGTATCCATGCTTCTCTGCCAGTTGTTGATGGCAAGTGTTAAAAGGTCCTCAGTACTGTGGTTCCGCCTGTATGCAAACTGTTCATTTGGAATTGCTCCGGGTGTGATGGCCAGATGGTCGTGAAGCTGCTGGAGCACTAGTGATTCCAAGACTTTGGAGATAATGGGCAGTAGCGAGACTGGGCGATAGTTGGAACTGTCGTAGGGGTCGCCTTTCTTAAACACTGGACACACAGACGCTAGTTTGTAGGCTGACGGTACCTTTCCGCTAGACAATGACTGGTTGAAGATGGAAGTTAAGGAATTGGCCAGCTCGGCGGCATGGTGTTTCAAGATGTAAGCTGGTATGCCGTCTGATCCAGATGCTTTCGTGGTATTCAATCGTTCGAGAATCTTCGTTACTGCTGCTGTTGTAACGGGTTGGAATTCGAGAAGGCAGTTGTCTAAACAGTCGTCCGCCGGAGTGTCTGGGGTCGTAAGAGCAGCGCGGTGTTCATCATGGACGATATTGCCTAGGGTATCTGACAAAGATGAGAGGGAGGCTTTCGGTGTGGGGTGGGATTTTCTCCTTCCAGTTAGTTGATTCAGCACTGCCCATTGGAGTCTAGGATTTCCTGTAGCGGCACTGAACTTATCTTTGTAGTACACACTTTTCAGTTTGCGGTTTAGTAAAGTTCCTTGACGACGTATTGCACGATACTGCTGTCGGAGGCGGTCATCCATGGGGTGCTTTATTAAGGCGCGGTGGGCTGAGCTTCGTCGATGAAACATCTGTTTCAGCTCTGGGGTGACCCAGGGCTGGGGGCGGGGTTTGGAGTAAGCTGCGCGCTTCTGGGTAGTAGTAGTAGTAGTAGTATTCTTTTATTTTCCATCGGAAGCCTCAACAGTGATGAACACAACTCTTAAGAGGGCCGATAACAGAGTAGAGGGGTGTGGGGTGAGAAAAAATAAGAGATATTTAAACTAAACTAAACTGATACTTGGAACATTAAAGCAGCAGTAAGCAGTAAGCAATAAACACAGGTATACAATACAAGCGATGCAGATCAATGAGGCCGTTTGCTGAAAAGAAGATCAAAATACTTCTGAAAAGACGCTGCGTCTTTAAGCATGGTCATAATGGGATAATGCAAGAATTAAAGAGATGTTTTTTTAAAAACGAATTTAAACTAGGAACGCAGTAAACACAATTATACAATGCAGGCGGTGCAGATCAATGAGGGAGTTTGCTGAAAAGAAGATCAAAATACTTCTGAAAAGACGCTGCGTCTTTTAGCATGGTCTGAAGGTGCTTAGCAAATGTAGTGCGGTGCTGGGTGCGCCACTCCACAGGCAAAGAATTAAAGAACAGGGCAGCACGATTTGAAAAGGAATTGACACCGTCAGTCGTCCGGAATTTAGATATTGCAATAGCAGCATTAAAAGAGCTTCTTGTTGTCCTAGGGCCGGTTGAAACTTGAGGGAAAAGGTAGTAGTAGTAGTAGTAGTATTTATTATTTTACTAGGGCAATCCCCACAGACTGTGAGTCTTTTTACAGGGTACCCTAAAAGGTCCGTCAGATTTGGGAGAGGGAAAACGACATGATTAACATGGATAAATTTAGCAATGCTACGAATAAGGTAATGTTCAAACGGATCAATCGACAATCTAGCTAACAGCGGCATGACGTCGTCTTGTAGTTTCGAGCCACAAGACGACGTCATGCCGCTGTTGTGGGTAACGAATGGTGCAAGATCATCTAGTACTGTCATGACACTTTGTTGCCAGTGGCTTGCCGCTGCATTTAGAGTATAACCGCCGGATACATCTGAGGGGTCAAGGATGTGTTTGAGAGCTGCAGACGTTACACTACGGTCAAGGTGAGCCAGGCTAGGTTGGCGTCTTCGAGAGAATTGCTCGTGTGGCTGTTCAAAGTTGGCTCTACTAACACGGACAGAGAGGCCAATAAGATGGTGGTCGGACAGGCCATCGACGCTAGAGGAAGACGGAGCAGCCGTTGTCATTGTTGTCGGTATGAGTGCAAGGTCTAGGCATGACTGACTAGGAACTCTGGTGGGCTGTAGTATGACGTTTTGTAAGCTGTGGTCAGCGCAGAGGCCTTGTACATAGCGGGCGTTTGGGTGAGGTGGGACAGAGAGCATGTTGACATTGTAATCACCGAGGAGGAGGATGTCCGGACATGTCGCGGAGGCCATCTGCACGCTATTGTCGAGCTGCTCCCAGAAATCCACATGGCTGTCGGGAGCGCGGTATACGCAGCCGATGGATAGAAATGGATTCGTTCGGCTATGGGTGTGCAACCCAACGAATATGGTCTCTAGCCTGTCGTTGACTTGAAGTTGCCTGGATTTCAGTTGTTCCTGCACATACATGGCAACGCCGCCACCCTTTCTGCGATCAGCTCGGTCCCGGCGATAGAGAGTGTAGGCTGGTATAGCAAGATCGCAATTCATCACAGTAGAGTCCAAGCATGTTTCACTGATTGCTAGCACATCGATTCTGTACTTGTACATTATGCAATGGATTTCATGAGTTTTATTTCTTAGGCTACAGATGTTGATGTGGGCGATGGTTAAGCTCTTGATACACGTACATGACTGGGCAGCCGGCATTCCAAAATTGATATCATGCAAACAATCTCTTTATGGCAGAGTCAGCCACCCAGTATTATAATGTCCTGTGTTTCGATAGATGCAAATCCACTTCACTATTGAGTAGGCCTTTCTAGTGTGTCTCCCTTTGTCAAAAGCATGTTACCGACAAGTGTTCACCTCCCCAGTGTCCTGCTTTCTCTAAAGAATACTGGTAGTATCATTGTCTGCCCCAAGAAGCATCCAACTGTGCTACGGAAGTGGAGGCGTAGCAGATCTACACGACGTACCTGCGCCTGTAGCTAGATTCGGAAACAGTCCTGCACGTACACGTACCTGACACTTCCGTAGGAACATGCTAAACTCGTCAAGTCCTGACTCATCTTCTCCTTGCAGAAGTGCGTGTGTTCGCCTCCGAAGTTATGCCCCCCCCCCCAGGACCTCATACACATGCTCTCCATGTGACGCTTCTCCTCATTGGAACTTTCCGCACCTGAGCCTTCCAAGTTCGAAGGTTGTTGGTTTACGCTTCGTAGATGTGTTGGAGCTAGGTGTCAGGTCGTCGAATGTCTCAATATCCTTGTCAGATTTGTGCCTTGTTGTCGTCACTATCTGACGCTATAATTATCTCATCACTTTGGTGGACTGTTCATGACTAGAAACTTATAGGTCCTTTTCTCTTTCCATATTTACTTAAAAATGAAAAAGTAAAAGTAGGAAGGCTTCCAGCGGTTTCCTGCGGTTCCATAAACAGCTCAGAGTAGAACCTGTGAACCTGATGAATGCCGAAACGTTGTAATACGTATTGTGAAATGAGTTGAATTATTGCAGTATTAATGGAAGACAGCGTGTGGGCTCTACTTTTAACTACTTAAACAAAATTGAAACTTTAATCAAGTGGCGACAAACAAGCCTTGATTGCCCTTGTTGTCCTATACATAAACGGTGTGTCGACAGCAGCAGCAATATCATAGAATGGGAGGCAATTCAAAAGGAAAATCTCTTTCAAATAACCAAGAATATGCATGTAGGAAAAGGAGGTGCTTTGCATGGGGAGTGCACGACGGAGTGAACGCGCACACAGAAATTCCGTTTACTTTGACGCCACTCTTTCTAGTTCTTGTCGCATTGGAACTAACATCAATTTTCCTCCTGCATTATTGTGCTGCACAGGACCCTGAAGAAGACAACGCTATTGCACCATTATTCCCTGATGCCGCCAAGGTCTGTCTCAATGCATCCAGTGGCAACGCAAACAAGCGCAGTGCTGCGTCCAGCTCTCTATGCGTGGAGCTTTGCAAGCTGGACTGCCTGACATTCTTTGCACAGGGCAAGATCTGGCTGCCGTGTCTGCTGCAGGGATGCCCCGGTGATATCCTGACCGATCGTCCTCCACCCAGCCTGGACCATGCTATCGTCACCTCTGGAACAATCACAGTCCCTTTAGACCGTGACAGCTCCATGCCGTCGTCCAAAAACTCTATGACATCATCGACGGATGCCATGATGTCATCGACAGCCGATGATTCCCCAAGACATACTAATATACAGACTTCAGCCAATTCAAGTTTTCTGATTGATGTCAAATCATTGCTGTTGAGCTTGGGAGGAGAGTACTCACCTCGGCAGTTCATTGCTGATGTTACAGTGCACCAAGTGTATGGCAGTGTAGAGTGCTACAGGAAACGGCCAGCTGTGGTGAGCAGATCATGGCCATCGCAGTATCCTGGTCAGGAGTGGAGAGACAAAGCCCCTGGACTTGCAGCTGACGCTGCCAGTACGAACCCTGCTGCTGAGCACGACGATCGTGAACTCGGGCAAGGCAACGGGGGACGTGTGCGTGTCCGCACTGTGGATCAAACCTCGCCTAATTCCCAGAGCAACCCGCCGACAGAATCGGATCTTGCCACCGTGCAAGGAGTATTGCCGTTCGGAGCTTTACCGCAGCGGCCGGGCACCGCTAAGCTGCTTCATGGATGGCTGCAACGGCAGTCGCGTTCGTCTGGACAAACGAACGGCTCAAAAGCAACCTTACATTGTGTTCCCGTGTCACGCACGCCCTGTGAGTGTTGGCATTGATACCAGTGTCCTGAGACGGACCAAGAATATCACTTTCTTTCATTCGCGTGCCGCCCGGCAACAAACCCCCGGCCTCGGCATGAAGGGAAACGCCGAGGTGACGTTCGATCTCGCCCGAATCCGGGCCAATCTGGCCCGTCAGTCACCCGGTAAGCCATTCGACATGCTGTCGGCCAATGTTGGACTCGTCCCTGTGCACAAGTCGGGGTGCCTGTGGACGTCAAAGGGCAGACTGTACCACGTCAATAGCAGCGGTGGCAGCAACAGGCCGCAGCATTTGTCTGTTCAGGCACGGTTCAGCGTGTTTGCGGATGGCGTATTCGTTGAAGCCATCAGTGTGTCCGAACTGCTGAGCAAGGAAATCGTTGCCTTGCTGCGATCATCAGCACGGCACCTGACACTACGGGTGGCGTACAACGACAGTCTTTCGAAACGCTGCACTCGTCCGGCCTGGGCCGATATTGAACTGCAGCACACCTCACAGCTGAGTCTCTTAGATTGTCAGGCACGTTGCGCTGCGAAAATCGAGTCCGGCATCGCGCCTCTGAGCTGCTTCACGGGGACGTGCCCGGGCCGAGTAACGCGCACCAGCTTCCGCCCATTCTTCTGGGTTGAGCAGGCGGCATACGGCGTGGGAGTGGACACAACGGAGGGCAAACCCTCGTTTCGCCTCGGCGGCCAGGGCCAGTATCTCAAATGGGGCCTAGGCGCCCAACCGACCAGCAGCATAATGTTTGATTTGCATGCACTGCGCCGGCATAACATCACATTCAACACGTTTTCAAGCTACGTGGGTATAGACACACGCACTGTATGCAGTTACCACCGTGGACAAGCTAACTTCCGAGTTTACTTAGACAACAAGCTGGTGTATGGTCGACGGCTGCTGCACGAAGTCGAGATGTTTCACCTGTCCGTCCGCGGAGCTCGATGGCTGAAGCTGGTCACGAAGTACTCGGATGCCCTGGACATTGAGGGAGTGTGCGCGCATGCAGTATGGGGCAGCGCACGACTCTGGAACTTATTAGGCTAAGCAGCCAGCTCCAGACAGACACCTCTATCATTCATTATCTTGAGTTTACAAAGAATTGATACTTGATTAATTATTGATGAGTTATGTGCTCGTTGTTATATTTCTCTCAGGAAAATGACGTTTTCAATTTTCATGCCTTTTTCATTTCCATGCCTTTTTCAATCATTTTTCATCGTCATGGGAATGGGACATTTGACGCTTTACATGTTGGAGTTTTTGTTCCCGCACCTTTAACATTACCGAACACAAAATTCCCGCTTACAGCATCAGTTGCTAGGAAGCTGAGAGAGAGAGAGAGAGAGAGAGAGACACACACACACACACACACACACACACACACACACACACACACACACACACACACACACACACACACACACACACACACACACACACACACACACACACACACACACACACACACACACACACACACACACACACACACACACACACACACACACACACACACACACACACACACACACACACACACACACACACACACACACACACACACACACACACACACACACACACACACACACACACACACACACACACACACACACACACACACACACACACACACACACACACACACACACACACACACACACACACACACACACACACACACACACACACACACACACACACACACACACACACACACACACACACACACACACACACACACACACACACACACACACACACACACACACACACACACACACACACACACACACACACACACACACACACACACACACACACACACACACACACACACACACACACACACACACACACACACACACACACACACACACACACACACACACACACACACACACACACACACACACACACACACACACACACACACACACACACACACACACACACACACACACACACACACACACACACACACACACACACACACACACACACACACACACACACACACACACACACACACACACACACACACACACACACACACACACACACACACACACACACACACACACACACACACACACACACACACACACACACACACACACACACACACACACACACACACACACACACACACACACACACACACACACACACACACACACACACACACACTACTACTACTACTACTACTATGTACAACTGCCACAAAATGGCCACGTCGCTCCCAGAAGCGGGAGACAACAGCGAGAAAAAAGAAACAAGGAGAATAATTGAGGTGAAAGGGGACCGTTCTACACATAGCTAGTGTTTCTGTCTACGGCGGCGGGTGAGGTCCTGCGGGCGGGAGAATCGTTCGTTACATAGGCTGCATTGAATGGGCAGATTAGTCCTCTGGTCCTTTCGCAGTCGTTTGCCTCGAGTACAATTATGGCGGTTAAAACCAGCCTGACTCTTCATGCAGCGATCACAGATCGAGCAATGGTGCTGGCAGCACACACACACACACACACACACACACAGGCGCACCGTTTATGCTTGCATCCGATTTCGGCTTTCACCGGACAGCTACATGTACATGTGTCCTATGCGATTCTTGAAAACTCTGACTCCAATAATTATTCATAACGTTGATCCTGAAGAGCGATTTTCCCATCCGTTGGATTTAACGAAACTATGCCGCTTAACTATTGATGTACAACGTATACCTTGAATTGAACTACTATGGCTGAACATCACGTGACCCATTCTAACTTCTAATTCTGTTGATGAATCAACTAACTTGAAGCTTTATCCCTAGAAAAAAAGGAGAAAAACGAGGTACAGTGTACCGTAAATGAAGAACACTACTCGCTTTAGAATAGACCACTACCTTTTTATTGAACACGGCAGGGCATATAGCTCAGTGGTAGAGCATTCGACTGCAGATCGAGAGGTCCTTGGTGCAACTCCGAGTGTGCCCTGGATACATTTTTTATTCCATTTTTTTCTAACCAGATTAGGTTAGGGGCCGTCCGGGGTTACCGATTGTTTTTACAAAACGAAAAGTTTTAGTATTTTTTCAAACTTCGGTATGGGACATGTGGCACCCTACCGGTATTCCGACCGGAAAAAGTATAGTATGAAATTGTTGCAGAGGTACAAATCTCTCTGACGTCATACATGTAAATCCGGCCTAGTCTGGGCAAGATTATGACGTCATCATGATGTCTCCAAATTTAGTGCAAACTTAGTAAAATATGAATAAATAATAAAAAAATAATAATAAACTTCAAGCTGTTGTAACTCGGAAACTGCTGCTCCGATCAGCCTGGGACCTTCACCATTGGAATCAGTGCAGTTTTCGCTGCCAGTCGTGAAGTTTTCATTTTAGGGTGAACTTCCCCTTTAAGTGAAGAGGGTGTGTGCTGTAACAAATTCTTTCCGCTTGCATAAATCTGGATAACGAGTACGAAAAAATATGGCTTCTAATGCGGAAAGTAGACGAAAACTACTACAGTGCATTTCAAAACTATAGACGCGTAGGGTTTTTGAAATATTTCAAATTTGGCTGGTACTTTTTGGGAATAGTTTTCGGAATATTGCTCAGGATCGCTCCACAATTACTCTCATATAGTTTCTAAAGGATTGGATAACAGACGCCCAATTTGGAAAATTTTATGCACAAAGTGATCACAGATTTTATGTGGTATAGATGCTGGCATAACGGTTTTTGCCTAGGTACGCGTCTATAGTTTTGAAATGGACTGTAGCATAACACACCACACTGAACCAGGAATCTTCATGCAACTGCAAACACTGGGGGTTGGACACCAAATGATTGAATAAATGATTGATTTATGGGCACTCACAAACACTGCATGTCACGTTTCTCCGTCAGTGCCTAGAGAATGGAGTCTGCCCCTCCGGCATACGGAAACGGGTATCTAAGGCTAAAGCCTATGAATCACTCGAAATAGAGAAAGTTTTCATTTATAATAGAGATGATATTGCTAGGGGGCATCGTGCACAAGACTACATGTAAAGTCAATTCCGTGGCCTGTATCTGCAGGCACTAGGTAGCCCCTTTCCCCAAGGTGCTCTTTTATTTCGCACTTAGTGCTTTTCGCGTCCCTCAAAATATGCTGAAAAAGTGCTCTTTTTTCAGTGAAAACAGGCAAAAAGTGCTCTTTTTTCAGTGAAGCATAGCCATGATACATGTTCAGATATGAACCTAAGCTGAGAAATGAATACGCACTCTTCCATTTATGGTAGTGTTGAAACGATCTCACCGGACACTCGTTAGCTCGCTCGCCAGAAACTCGGCTCGTTTGTGCGGCCAGCTCGTTTGCACTAACGAACACCGTACACCGTACTCCGTAGACCCGGGTGCTCGAATGAGACACAGGGTACCAAAACAGAAACACCCTGAAATTGTACCTAAACTTGTTCCGATTTCGTTTAGTTTTCACAAATACCATCAACATACGGCCTGCTAACGGTATGCCAAATTTCAGCGCTGCCCGGTAAACGGTTTTTGAAATACTCGCGACCCACTTTTTGATGGGTCCTTGATTCGAGGATGTGGGTCTCCTGTACGGTGCTGCCAAAGACCTGCTGAATCTGCGGCTCCACTGACCATCTTGCTCTCAAAAACGAAGTAGTAAGTTACTACTACCTGCCCTCAACTGCCACACCAAGCGTAGACGATGGTAGACCCGTGTGCTTGAATCGGAGACGATCTGACGAGTTTGCTGTTTCTGATTCGAGCACCCAATTTTCAAATAAAAAATCCGAAGGAAATACGACCATTTTACTGCGAACTGTAGCTTGTGTTGTAGCGCACCGAGGTTCTGAATTCCTGCTGGGTGGGTCAAGCCAGACTCCCTTCCCTGTTCCATCGCCTCTCCAAAAGTATATTATGACATTGTTGAGATTTACAGATGAGAAATTGCACACCTGTCAAATCGTTTCTGATTCGAGCACCCGGGTCTACACATGGCAGTACATGTCGACC